GCGCGGTCCTTCGCAGCTCTCCACACCTCATCACATGCTCCATTTTCTGTAACTGGACAGCTTACATAACGTATGGTGGAAACTCCAAATTGTTACCATACCCCAAAATGTTCTTGATTTTAATAACTTTCTAATTTTATTATATTTGCCTCTCTCTCTATGTCCCCAATGATATCTGTGCTCAGTTTTTATTTTTTTCAAAATATTGCCTCTCTATATAAGTCTAGCCTTTTGGAGGCTGTCCTATATTTGCACAGGAAGATTGTTAGGAAGATGTTATGCTCAAATATCCCATGCTACTGGACCCACATGCAAGCAGCAGGAACACATTCAAACTTCAGCTTTTTCAAGTCTGTCCTAGCTTATACTTTTCATGGTCCTTGTTTGGTCTCCTACAAAAAGTGCAGTCTCAAGGATCATGGGAGTATGTGAACACAGGGCCCTATCATCTCTGCCTTGCCTATATGTAGCCTTGCCCACGAATCTATATTTACCCGGGTCACAACCATTAGTTCAGGCTGATAGAGCTGTTAGCCATCCCATTCTCTTGTCTACCAGGAATACCACTTTTACCAACAAGAATGCTGAATGTGGGCACTCCCCCCCACCACTCTGGGGTAGTGAGCACCTTCAACTGCCAGCAAAGCCTCACAGCCCACCTCTGTACCAAATGAGCTGAGGTGGAGGAGGAGAATGACAGCTGCCAGGCAAAAGCACCATAGACTCCTTCTGTCACCCAACTTGAGGGCAGGAGGAGGAGGAGAAAGGCAACAAAATTTAACATACAGCGAGTATTCCTGCAACCACAGGATCTTATTTACAACTTCAGAGTGACCCTGAAAAAATCAGTTTTCCAAATACAACTATTTTTTTAAGTTTATGTGTTTTGTACAGGGCCTCACTATGCAGATCAAACTTGTAGTGATCCTCTTGTTTTCAGCCCCTCCCCCCCCCAGGGCTGGGATTATAGTGGCTGGCTCAGCATGCCCAGGGGTGGGGCTGGAGTGGCATGTGGTTCCGGGGATTAAACCTTGGTCCCTGCGCTTGCCTAAGCAGGCGCTTAGTCCACTAAGCTATCTCCCTGGCCCTTAAATACAACTTTAAAAAGCAATGAGTTATGGTTACAAACTCATGAAAGTGAAATATCCAGCAATTGCATGTTATGTCATTAGATACTTATAGTTTGAGATAAATATCCACAGATAGCATAATGCTGAGATCCAAACCTACTTTTATTTTTGTTTTTTGTTTATTTATTTTTTGAGACTGGGTCTCACTCCATAGTCCAGACTGGCCTTGAACTCACTATGTAGCCCAGACTGTTTTCAGGCAATCTTTCTGCCTCAGCTTCCTGAGTGCTGGGACTACAAGCATGTGCCACCATGTCCAGTTTACATAATGAGTTTAAAGCCAGTCTGTAATATATAGTAAGACCTTATCTCAAAAAAAAAAAAAAAAAAAGACAAGTGTAACATCAAAAGATGCATATTAGATGCATCTATACTTAAATCAAGATTAAGTTAAAGGAAATGATACTGAGTACTTAAAAATTACTGTTTTCCATGGTTAAGTTTAATGAGAACTTGGGCCTGCAGACAAATCACTCAGGACTAGCAGCCTGAGGATGTTGGTAAGAATAATATGGAATGGGTAACAAACAAGTGGTGCCCTTCAGCTCTGAGCACAAAGATGCAATTTCATAAGCCTCTGGGAATCCAAAATCACTTTTCCCTGAAACTCAGACTGACTCCCTTTCTTTACTCTTTCATTACTTAATAGTTTGGGAGTGACTCTCCAGTCTGGGTTGCTTCAAACAACTACATGACCTAGAATCACACCACCTATCCCTTCTCTTCTGGGTGTTCTCTATACCCTCAAGTATGTATGTATGTATGTATGTATGTATGCATGTTTATAAGCGAGGAAAGAGAGGGAGGGGGAGGGGCCTTGAATTCACTGTGGGGGAGGGAGAGGATGGAAACAGCACAGAATTAAGAGGTTTCCAAAGATCAAAAAAAGTAGGATCCACTAGTGAATTTCTCCTTTTGACTTCAGAGTCTGTTACCCAATTGCTTTGTAGTCTGGAAGGATGTTCATTTCCTTTCTAAGGGAAATAAATTGGTAGCTGCCTCTTACAGATTTCCCCATGTCTTAATATAAACAGGTCTCTGATGAAAAGTTTCAGGAAATACACATACAAATATGTACACATACACACTCTCCCAGTCATTTCTGTGGCCTCTTCATCCAGAAAACAGAGAGATCTTTAATGACCTATCTATGAAGCTCTGGCAGAATCAAGAGATCTCACATCCTCCAATTCCCATCCCATCACTCTTGATAAATCATTCTTTTAAGCCCTCACTGTGGGTGACAACAGTTGCCGGCCGCAACAACCTTTGCTATTAACAACATCCAGCTGAATGAACTTCAGCCATCGAACCTCCTCCCTGAGGTTCACAGAGGGGCATGTGGCTAGGCTTGGTGATTCAGGCCTTCTGCCCGCCCGCCTTTATTTCTCCTTTCATATCCTACACCAGGACTTGTTTAGGTTCATTCCAAAAGGTGGGGTAAGTGCCGTCATCCCTGGTCTCGGTGATCTTTCACCCCCAACTTGCTTGGCTGACATACGCACAACTGGCTACCCAGGTACAGCGAGACTTGAGCATAATACTGAGAATGCAGGCAGATTCGAATAAATGCTGAGTCAAAGCTGAATCTTTAGGACTATAGATACAATTTATTTGGTACAAATATCAAATAAAGTCAGACTTTCTGGATTCTTCCACTTTAACTTTTCTTTCTTTTTCTTTTCTTTTTTTTTTTTTTGTATTTAGTACAGGGTCTTCAGGGTCTCACTACACAGATCGGATCCATAGTGATTCTTCTGCTTTCAGCATCCCAAGCGTTGGGATTACAGATGCGCACCACCATGCCCTGTCTCAATTGCCATCTCAGCGCACCCCAGGGCGGGGGGTCTGCTTAAGCACTTTAATTCACTGGGCTATCTGGCCGACCCTGGATTCTTCCACTTTTCAATGAGATGACTCAGACTGAATATGTTTCAAAGAATGTGTTTCACGTCTTTCTTAGGACAGCATTCTCTTGGAAAAAGTAATTCATACCATGATTCAGGCCCCCTTTCTTCTCTTCATCCTCACCTCAGGACACAAGAGAACTCCATAAATAGCCCACTGACTCAGGTAAGTTAAAATAATCTCTTCCAAAGCATTAGACATCAAGGTATAAGACAGTGAACATTTTGCAATCTCTTGGGTAAACAGGAATAATACCTGATAGATAATACTGGCCACAAGTGAAGAGAGAAAACATGATTCAGATCTATAAACACAACCAATAAAAGGTAAATACACATAACTTGGGGACAAAGAGTCAGCAATATGGTAACTAAGTCAGAGAAAGGTTTAACTTGCAATCAGAAATCAGGCATAAAGGTCAGGCATGTTTTACCCCTGACAATATAAACTGTGACACACCTCATTCCTGGCACAGATCAAAAAGGAACAAACTGGAGATAAAAATTCCTCTAAGAATCTAGGTTAAAATACCACTTAATAGTAAAAGCCCCTGGCAAGAACAAGGGCCTGAGTTCAATACCCGGTTCCACCAAAAAAAAAAAAAGCAGTTAAACTACCTGTCATCAGAGGGTAACAATAATAGCAACTATGTGAACTGAAGAAAACTTGCCTTCCCAGGAAAACTACCTAAGTCAACGTCTTAGTTTCTTGTAAAAATAAATTAGTTTATCACATAGGATTATTGTAATGATTAGGTGAATTTATAAAAGAGTTCTTAAAAGAATTCTATTAAAGACATTTTATTTTCCATAAAGACCATCCAAGTGCTTACTATTATTACAGTGGAAGAAGACAGGGCTAGTTTTCAAGGTTTTCTTATTTGTTTTTGTCATAATAAAATAAAATAAAATAAAATAAAACTGCAGCTCCATAATAAAGGACTGCCACAATAAAGAACCTTGTTACAGTTTATATCTAGATGCCCCCCAAAGCTTCATGTGGTCATAGGTGGGGCTCTTTGGAGGTGGCTGGATTGAGTATGATGCTGGGAGTGACTCATGGTACAATGCAAGGATTAAGGGTGCCTCACCCTGAATATGATATAAAGGACAAGAAGAGGCCACTGCTTTGCCTTGCAGTTGCTTGTTACCCCTCTGCCCTGCCACCCTGCCTTGGAGCCAGCCAACTATGAACTGAAACCTCTACAAACTGAGCTAACTAAACCTTTCTTCCCTTAAATTTGGGTGTTAGGTATAGTGTCTCAGCAACAAGAGAACAATTAAGACAAAGCTGATCGAAGTTTAATGTAAAATTGAACATAACAGTTATTACAGCCTTAAAAGTGGTCATTCTACTATCACAGTATGAGCATTAAGTACCAAAAATGTTTCTTTCTGTATTTCTATGTAGCAAATTTTCTATGTGCTCCTTTTTAGAAATGCTAGTTCCACCAGTTAAAACTGCAGCTCCAAATTACATGATAATGTAGCTCAAGGTCACTATCAGTACAGATGACCAAACCTTAAAAATACTGTTCTCACATCAGAGACCTTGAAGAATGCTCTAATGGGATTAAAATACCTTGCAAAGAATTACAACATGAATACCCTCAAGAAATCTTAATTTACAAAAGGTCACAGAGTTACAAAAAACATCCCTTATTTCAACTAATTAAATGAAATTTTAGTTAAACGGCACCTTTAAGTTGGTATTGCAGCTGCGAGTGAATTTAAATAGCATTTACAGAGACATAATTAGCACAATTAAGCATGGGTAGATGTAGAAACACCATTCTTAATTATATTGATATAATCAGATTTATTAATGCTTTATAGCAACAAAAGTGACATCTGACAGTGGCGCACAATTCGTGACTGAACCTAATATTAAACATTTTAGCTTATTAAGGATTCTAAAGCTAGGTAATTGGAGAAAGAAAAAAGTCAAATGATGAGTTCCTACCTGTGACAATACCATAGTTGGGAGGCTCAAGAATTACTCCATAAAACTGGATGATGTTTCTGTGACTCAGGACACTGAGTATTTCTGCCTGTACAAAAATCAAACGCAAAGTTACATAAAATTCCACATTCATAATAATCTAATAAAATATATACCATATTCAATTTCCCTTTACTTACATTAACAAAAATATGTTATGTTTGTATCTCGATCTCCATCCAAAGCCTCATGCAGTTTTAGATGGGGCTTTTTCAGAGGTAACTGAATTTATTTATTTATCTATTTATTTTTATGTATTTGGCATAGGGGCTCACTATGCAGCTTGGACTCACAGTGATCCTTCTGTTTTCAGCCTCCCTAGTGCTGGAATTACAGGTGTGTGCCACCATGCCAGGACTCAGTGGCTGGATCAGCGCACCCCGGGGTGGGGCTGGCACATGTGGTTCAGGGGATCGAACCCTGATCCCTGTGCTTGCCTAAGCAGCTGCTTAGTCCACTGAGCTATCTTGCCAGCCCAGATAGTTGAACCTAGAGGACGTGACTGATTCATGGTGCAATGCTGGGATTGAGGGTGCTGGAGCTAATGGTGGGTGCCTGCTTTATCAGTCTAGTGAGTGGACTGGCACTGCCCTAGTCCCAGTGGACTTGATATAAAAACACAAAGAGGCTTGCTCTCCTCTCTTGTTGTCTTCTATGGCCATAAACCGTCATTCCTCTCCCATGTGCTGCTCTGCCTCAGCACCAGGCAGTATGGACTGAAATCTATAAATTGTGAGCTAAATCAATCTTTCCTCCTTTAACCTTGGATGTCGGGTATTTTGCCTGAGCAACAAGAGAAAAGAGAATACATATCTTTTTTTTTTTTTTGGAAGTTGCAGCAAGTCTGAACTTCTTTTAGTTAGATGAGTCAAAATTAAGGTAGAGGTTTCAAATATTTTTGAATAGATACTGCTAATACCATTTATATCATTTATTTAATAATTCACTCAAATATATATTACTGCTGTCTTTCACACAAGGTGCTATAAACCTATGAAGGCAGACTGGTCTTCAGTAGTGATCTGAGGGGACTGGCGCTAACAATAGAAAATGGTACTGGAGAGGCACAGCAAAAATAAATTATAATATTAAGCTTAATTTTTAAATTTAAAAACATACTAATCTATAGATGGATATACTCTAGATAAATCACATATATTTATTACAAGTTTTTAATGGAGATAAAATGGCTAATCAATTCTAAGTACAAAGAAGTACTAAATCATGTAAATTAAATATAGAAAAAATTCAATGTTTTAAGTGAAAGGTATATTATTGGCAATAGAAAGTAGATTTTTAAGCCTTCCACCTCAGAAAATGTATCATCAAGTAGAATGCCAGCAATTAACAGAGAAGTCAGTGTCAGGAAGGAGACTCTCCTTCAGGGATCTGCACACTATGAGTTAGCGTTATTTGCTATACTTTTTTTTTCATAGAGTGAGAGTTGAGATTTCATTAAGAACACATTTTGTGAAGCTGGTTTGGAAGGTGAGGTAACTAGATAGGAAACAGAGGTCTGAGGGTTGGCAGGGGGCTAATACAAAGTCAAGAGAAAGAAAAATCATCATTGATTAAAGGAGACACTTATGAGGGTTAATTTGACAGTGTTTTTCTCCTAGTAAAATAGGTGCTGAAGGGGGTGATCACAGCTTGGTCAAATGATTCCTTAACATCCTCTAAGTACTCCATGTTCACAAGCAATCTTCTCATAGTTCAGTTTGCCAAGAAGAAAATGCATTAATTATCCAACACAACTACTCATCTCATGACAATTCTAATTCTCATTATGAAATAGTAAAGGAGCACTATCATAAAACTAAAGTTTACGGGAAGTTTGAAAATCATAAGTCACCCTATTTTTAAGTGGCCGAACAACTCTTTGTAAATAAAGCCTTGGAGTTCAATGTGAGTAAAGCAGAAGAGTTCATATTTGTACCAGTATTTGTCAGATGGGGAGAGTATTATCTTTTAGTATATTCTTTAGGGTGTCTGAATTTGATGACCATTAAAGTATTTTTTATCAATAATGAATAAACAGAGGAATATCTAAAACTTTGGATGACCATTTTATAAACTAGTATGATGGAATTTTCAATGCTCCCAACAGTTTTCATTGACACCACTGCCAAGTGATATACTGAAGAGGATTTATCTTTTTTGGACCTGCTTATTAGAATGTTTAGCAGCTCTTGGGTAGGCAAATGCAAATATCAAAATAACAATCAACATCCTACATCCCATTTTTTAGCAATTATGAAGACAGCATTACTCTTCTGCAGTATAACACATTTTCCTGGAGTTAGACTTTAGGTTCTTATTTAATAAACTGAGAATTGGACATAACTGTATTCAAAACAGTAACATGACTTTAGAAAGCTGTACTAGTTTCACAAAAATGGGCTACCACAAAACAGGCAGGCTGAGGAAGTGATATATTAGTAATGAACAAAGGGCCACTGATACTAGGATACTAGCAATTCAAACAAGCTCCAGTAGAAATAAGTGTGTGACTAGATAAATAACTAAAACCTGTGTTGTAGCTGTCACTCTCTGTGAGTGGGTGGATTCTAGGGGTGAACTTTTTTTGGGGGGTTAATATTTATAGGCACCTGCTTCCACAACAGGTGGAACTGATGAAACTGTTGCAGTAATTAAGCAATGCCCAGTGTTCATTAAATCACTGTTTTTCTATTGTTTTCCAGATTTCCACTGTGGGATAATCTGGTGAATGGACTGCCTATCAAAATTATGGATTTAATATATACAATTAGTTCACTGTTAAAATATATCTTTTTATCAAAAATCAACATCAACAAAACTATCAAAATTGAATTAAGCAATTTATTTTCTGCAAACACAATTTAATGAAAATTTTCATTTTATTGTATTGATTTTAGAGTTCGTCTTATTTAATAAAAATACTTTGATTTTATAGGCATGTAAGAGAAGTTAAATCTTAGTTTCCTGTTGGGGCATATCTAAATTTATACTGAAATAATTTTAGTCAATAAGTGAAATCAAGAACACTGTAAAATGTTATTTTAGTGTCTCAAACACTTGTACCCAGTGTTCAACTTTTTTTTTTTTTTTTTGGTACTGTGGATTGATCTCAGGACCTTGTGCTTGCCAGGCAGGCACTTATGCTACTTAGCTATCTCCCTGGCCCTCAAGCAGAATTGTTGACAATGGTTTAAAGGCAGGAAAACCCAAGTGTTTGTCCTCTGATGAAAGATTAACCTAAATGGGATATACAAAAGCAATGGAATATTATTTCAGTTATAAACAAATTAAAATTAATCTTTTTTTTTTTTTTGTGGAACCGGGGATTGAACTCAGGCCCTTGTGCTTGCCAGGGAAGCACTTATTCCACTAAGCCTAAGCCATCTCCCCGGCCCTTTAAAATGAATCTTGAAAGCATTATGTTGAAGAAAAAATAAATCAGACACAAAAGGACAAATACTGAATGACTCCACTTATGTGAATAAGTAAATTTAGATTATACATAATTTAAAAAAGCTGATTTCCAGTAGCTTCAAAGAGGAAGGAATGGGAATTGTTACTTAAAGGTTACAAAGTTTTTATTTGGCATGAAAAGATTTGAAAAGAGAGGATAACAACAGTTGTACAACACTGTGAACACCATTAAAACCACTTAAATAGTGAATTGTGCTTAAAAAGGCACAGTTTATGCTATATATATTTTTTACCACAAATAATCAAGTTTAAAAGATGTTTTATAGACTTCTGCAGAGATAATCAGAGTTTGTTAGGGCTTGTATTTACATGTCCCTTCAAAGCCTCATGCGCTCATAGGTGGGCATTTTAGAGCTGGTTGAGTACAGAGTGTGTGATATTGGGATTAGGGATGTGTGGGAATTAGGGTAGTTCTGGGTGACATCATCCAAAAGGCTGGTAGACTAGGTGGGACAAAAAGGAAAAGCAAGCTTGCTGCTGCTGGCTGCATTCTACCTGCTACACCATGAACTATTTCTCCTCTGCCACACCTCTCTGCTATGCTGCCCTGTCTTGGAGACACCTGACTATGGACTCAAACCCTAAGACTGGGCCAACATAAACCTTTCCTCTTTTAACTTATGGATGTTGGGTATTCTTTTTCAGGAAGGAGAAAAGGAACAAAGACAGTATATATTTAATAATCAAAATATCTTTGAGATAAATATGTACTTTTCCAGTTTAGGACCTGAGGGTCTAAGGAACAAACTGAAACAACTTTAAGTCAAGATCTAAAGTGCTCCATAAAATAAAATCTGATATATAAATAGAGTAGCCAAAACTCTATCTATAAAAATATCTAATAGGATGTCTTTATGTTACACTAAATAGAAAAAAATCTCAAAACAAGAAAACAGGAAAATAACAACGCTAATCATGGATTACATATTGTTGTCTTTAAATTAGTTGCTCTGTGTATAAGACATAGGCATTAAGTTGTCCAAACAATATTAGCACAAATGTTTTTCAATGAAGAGAAATTAGTAATATATATTATTAGTAGTATATTTCTTTTCCCTTTCTTCTTTTCTCCTTTCCCCCATCCCAGTCTCTAACAGGAATGTTTTTAATGGAGTATAAAAATGTCTCTCATGTTTGCAGTGAAATGAGTCTGCTCTTACTGTTTACAGCTGAGGCCAATTTTTCTGCCCTTCTCGCACTCCTTCCTTTCATCTTTCATAACAGCAAATATTAGCTATTATAATACAGTTTATAACTATGGGCAGGAGGTGGATATTTTGCTGCTTTATCTTATTTGGCATTCCATGAGTGTGTGTGGGGAGATGAGCCATTAGCCCAGTATGCTTTGCTTCCAGAAGCTGACCAGCACACAGCTTCCAAACAACTGATGCCACCAGAGACAGTAACAGAAGCTAAATGTCACAGTTCTGATTCTCTTCCTTTAAAGTACTTTCAACAGTTTAAAATAAAGATTGTGAATCAATTTGTTTTTTCCAACTTCCAAGTGATTCCTCTCCCTTAATTAAAAATTTGTTTCTCAACAAATCCCAAATTTAAACCTGTCTTTAATTTTGC